CCTTCCAGACGAAACCGGGGCTGCGAGAGAAGCCTGGGTCCCGGGTGCCAGATGGAAAAGCCGGTGCCAGCCGCTGGGGGTAGGAAGGCCTTCTCTTGCATGAATTTCATGCATCGGGCCTCTGGTTAATATATAGGGAGCATGCACATTTTTTTAAAAAGTGGAAAGTATTCCATTGTGACCTAGACACAATTCTTATCTCTAAAGCTGACATTGTTGGGTGTTCTGCTGATGTCTGATGTTCAAAAAGGCAGTCTGAAATGTGATCCTTCCTAGAGCATAGGATAGTATTTCCCTAGAGGCCTGATGCACGAAATTCATGCACGAGCAGGCTTTCCCCCGGCTTCCCTCTAGCACTTGGGACCCAGGCTTCAGGCTTCCCTCCACCGCCTGCAGGCCCCCAGGACCCAGGCTTCCCTCGCAGCCTAGGCTTCGTCCAGATCATCCAGAAGCACGTCCAGTCTAATTAGCATATTATCCTTTTATTATTAAAGGTAGCAACATTTTCAAATCCCTCTTCCTTCCTCGACCATTTAGTTTCTAGGTTCTGTACTGGGAATAATTGATCTGTTGTATGGACAAATGTGGCCGATGTAGTTCAGGTCAGAGGGAGAAGCATGCCAGTACCCTACCAACTTTTTTTCTTTTTTAAACGAGAATAATGAAATGTGCGTTGGCTGGTTTGGCTCAATGGATAGAGAGTCGGCCTATGGACTGAAGGGTCCCAGGTTCAATTCTGGTCTAGGGCATGCACATGCCCAGGTTGTGGGCTCCATCCCCAGTAGGGGGCGTGTAGGAAGCAGCCCATCAATGATTCTCCCTCATCATTGACGTTCCTGTCTCTCCCTCTCCCTTCCTCTCTGAAATCAATTAAATTATATATATATATATATATATATATATATATATATTTTTTTTTTTTTTTTAAATGAAGTAAAAAAAAAAAGGAATAATGAAATGTTTTTATTTTCTGTTGTCTTGAAAACAGTGACTGCAATGTAATTCAGGACTGTATTTCTCTATCCTAGCTTCTCACTTGTGTCTTGAAGGTGGTGGCACAGACATCCACTGCTCCGAATGTCCTGGTCTGTTACTGTTCATGTGCTCCCCAGGGAGAGCGTACACCCCACGTGCTCATCACGCTTTTCCCACCCCCCACCTGAATAGTGTTGCTCTCCTCTTCCCCAGCCGGTAGGGCCAGTCCAGCCCTGCGCTCACTCCTGCTGTCCCACTGGACATTGTGGATCAGGAAACTTCAGCTGCTGGATGTGTGCCTCAGGAGGTGTTGACCTTGGCCGTGTGCTGGGGAGAGGCAGGAGGGAGGGAGGCCAGCCAGGAGGCTGCTGCAGGAATCCGCAGAGAGCCTGGCTTGGACTGTGTGGGGTGGAGGGGGCGGGCAGGAAGGGCTGGGTTGGAAGAAAGAGACATTTCATACATCTTGAAGGAATGATCAGCCGGACGTGGTGGCCGCCTGATTGATGAAAGAGAGGGGTAGGTCAATGAGTTTCGGAAGGAGAGCATATTTTTAGATTATGGTTTGCAGTAAACCCCGGGCCTCGGAGACATGAAGGGCTGCGGGCCATTGAAGCTGAGCTGGGAATAGTCACCACATGGACGGCAGCTAAAGGAAGATGTGGCCCTCGTCTGTGCCGCGAGCGCGTTTCCGTGACCTAGACACAACACTCTGACATTCGTGAACTCCGGCTGTTTAGCTCTTTATTCATTGCTTCCTTCCTTTCACAGTGCTCTTGGTGCCCAGTGACTCATCCAGCCAAAGCCAAACTGTCTGAAGCATTAATAGGTGGAGAGGGGAGAGATGCCAGAGGGAGTGACTCTGGCACCGTGACCGGTATCCGCACACAGCCTGTGCCGTCGGTGCCTGGTGTCCCTGTCTGCTGCCTGGTACCCGGCAGGCGGTGAGCTCCTGGGGAGCAGGGCCCCGGGTCACTCGTCTCTGTCCCTCCAGCATCCCCTGGTCCCATGCTTGGCATGCTGAGTGCAGGTCTTTTTGAACTTTTTTGTTCCAACTGCAACCTAATTCTAGACCAGCGGTCGGCAAACTCATTAGTCAACAGAGCCAAATGTCAACAGCACAACAATTGAAATTTCTTTGGAGAGCCAAATTTTTAAAACTTAAACTTCTTCTAACGCCACTTCTTCAAAATAGACTCACCCAGGCCGTGGTATTTTGTGGAAGAGCCACACTCAAGGGACCAAAGAGCCGCATGTGGCTCGAGCCGACCATGGTTCTAGGGGAATAATTTCAAGTGCAATAAAACTACTTTACTATTGCATGCGAATGTTAGTAATAAACTATAAACAATTAGCAATGCAGTATGACGGATACTTTACAGTAGGGGTGTCGAACTCAATCAGAGAAGGGGCCAAAATCTAAAATCCAGCCTAAATCGCGGGCCGAATGGTTTACTGAACAGTCATAAACTGTCATTGTGATGGAAAAGCAGCGGAGTGCAGTGATGACAGTGCGGTGCGGGCCACATTGCAAGGCCTGGCGGGACGGATTTGGCCCGCGGGCCTTGTGTTTGACACATGTGCTTTACAGTGTCACGTTTGAGCCTCTTCCGTGTTATGTCTAAGGTCTTAGTCTGGCAAAGCAGAGGGCCAGAGCCCAGTCTGATCTGAGTTAGAACCCAGGACCCCTGAGACCAGATTCCTCCCACACCCCAAATTCCCAGAGCTCAGTGATGAGGCCCTGGTAATTAGAAAGTGGTGTTTGTGAATTTACGTGGATGGGGGCAGAGACATAAATGAGATACTCCATCTCAAGTGTCTTTCTGACCGAAGGCCCGCTGGAGATCTCTTCCAGCGGACTCCGGCACTCCCTGCCACGTGGCATGGGGTCTGGGAGGGTGCCGACCGCCAGGCAGGTCCCCACAGGGGCACTTGGTGGCCAGCACCCTCTCTGACCTCTCCCTGTAGACTAGGCTCCTGGATCCAAGTCCCTCTAGTTTTTCACACTTTTGTCCATCAACTGAGGCGACTTGACTCCTTCATCTTAAAACATTTTTGGCTCCCAAGGTTCTGTAGTTCCATGATGGCATGGAAATAGTTTTATACATCAGAGCACGTGGAATGCCACGAGGGCGTGAGCTTGTACTTGACGAACTGAGGCGAGCAGGGGAAAGTCACTTTCATTCTAGATTTGATTGTTCCCTCCCCCTTCAGGTGGCGGTTTCTGACAGGTAAGGGAATTGGACCGGAAAAAAATGCAACTGGCGTTTTGAAGCGTATCCCACACACCTTCTCTTTCTTAAAGGCGAAAGTGCCCATTTGAAAGTCACCGTTAGCAGGAAGCAGACAGGAGTCTATTTTCTTGGTCAGTGTTTGGACCCGGGAGGGGTCCCTGCTCAAATGAATTCATGCACCCTGGTTGGTCCCAGCTTGTCTCTCACGATAAGTGTGCGCTTGGTCCAGCGCTATACGCAGGAGGCCCCACCGCAGCACGGCAGGGAGGTGGTGTCTGAGCAATGCCAGCCCCGGGGCTGGGAGGCAGGGGTCCCTACAGGATGATGACAGGAGGACAGGGACCCAGGGTTCAGGGCTGGGGTCTGTGGCTGGTGGAAACCATTGTTTTCACATCAAGTCACCTTTTTTTTTCTTCCCAGCAACTCAGGTCCTGTCCGTTTCTCCTCCCGCCTATGCCAGCTACCTTTCCATCCCTCCAGTGCCCTTCAGGGGGGACCCAGTGTAGCTTCCTGTGTCACCCAGTTCCTGTGTGGTTTTATTCAATACTTCTAGTGACAAAGGAGAAGCAGGGAGTTAAAATGAGCAAATTAGGGAAATGCTCGAGCTTCTACATGCCTTGTAATGAAAGCTATTCTGGTGTTCAGTGGAGATGGGGAACTATCTCCAGTTCCCTGTATTTTCTCTCCCACTCTCCCCTTTTCCACTTTTTGACTTTCTGAGCCCTTCTTCCTATGGCTGGGTTTTCCTTATTCCGTCTGTCGTGCCTCTAGGCCACGACCTGGAGAGACCAGTGGGTCTGTTAGGACCAAGTAAAATCATTTTCATTCAGAGAAAGCCATCAAGTTCTGCTTTGGGTCAAGAAAAAAATCTGGCCTTATGTTTCAGAGAGGAAGGAAGAGAAAGGGCTGAGAAGTTTCACATGGATAGCGGATACCCGTGCTGCTGTGAGGGGGGGACGGGTGGGTCAGTGGGTGGGATGGAGGGTGCTGAGGGAACAATGGATTTAAACTCAACACCATGGGGGGGTGGAAGTGGGGGAGATGGCAGAGGTGGGGGAGATGGCCTGGGTTTGAAATAAGTAACTTTACAACAATAAAGAAATTTCCTTCTAATCTTAGTTTCTGATCTTTGTGTGTGTGTGTGTGGGGGGACGGGGGGAGAATGGATTTTGAATTTGATCAAACGCCTTTTGATTACCTGAGGTGATATGGCTTGTTTTATTTGACCCAGTAGTAGATCTGTTGAATTCATGGATTTCCTTTATCCTAACCCAGCATTGTGTTCCTGGACTACATTCTTCGTTAAAGGCTGTGGGGGCTTCTTTTGGTGCACTGTGGATTCCGTGTGGTGCCACCGATACAGGATTTTCATTTCTTATGCCTGACAGAGACTGATGTGTTCTTTTTCATTTCTTTTTTGTAATTTTTTGGGGCCATTTTGGTTGAAAGTATAGAGGGGCCTAATATGTTATAATGTTTGTTATGTTATGTTGCTATGTGTAACCTGCTGTGTTGTGGGGAGGAGGTGGAAATCCAAGTGTGTCCAGCAGAAGGAATGGGAGTTGCTTACACAGTGTGCATGCTTTTGGTGGGCGCCTCAAAACCCCAGGGCTTGGCTTTAGCCCATGAGCCTTAGCCCGCAGTGAGCCCTGGGGCTGCTCCCTGCAGCCTCACCCAGGCTCCCCTTCATAAAGGAAGGGACTCCTCCTCCGGCCCCTTCAAAGGCCTCATCTGTGGGGATTGTGGCCGATTATGGCCAGGGACTGATTGGTGCATCTTGTTCTTGCTTTGAAGGTCTCAATGAATGCACTCGTGGAAGTGCCACCTCTTGTGAAGAATGCCTGCTAATCCACCCCAAATGTGCCTGGTGCTCCAAAGAGGTATGTGGGCCAGGGAAGTGGGGGGCGATGGAGGGAGTGGGGGAGTGGGGGGGGGGAGGGAGAAGGGGGGAAATGCTCTGGGGGTCAGCAGGAGGTCACGGCACACAAGTTGATTGGAGGGGAAAAAAGTGAGTGCCGATTTTTTTCCAGGGCAAGGAGCAGAGAAAAGTGGCATTTTTATAACATTGGGTCTCTAGATAGAGTGTTGACTGTTTTAATCCTGTTTTAGGGAAGTAAGGCCTTTCTCTCCTTGTGTGGGGGAACCCGTACAAGAGTCTTGTGTAGTTTTCTCTGTAGTCAGAGACCTGAGCTTGTGAAGCAAGTGTATTTCAGAACATGCCTGGGTGGGTGGCAGGCTGGTGGGTGCTGCTCGTCCTGATGTGCCTAATTGGAGGATGACTTGAATATCGTGAACTGGCCTTCGTGGAATGATTTTACTGAAAAAGAACAGCTGCTGTTTCTTCAAACCCTATAGCAGTGGTTCTCAACCTTTCTAATGCCTCGACCCTTTAATACAGTTCTGTGTTTTTCCATGGTCTTAAATATCTGTTTTCCGATGATCTCAGACGAACTGCTGCTGTAGAGCCTAAGACCGTCGGAAAACACAGATATTTACATGACGATTCATTAACAGTAGCGGAATTACAGTTATGAAGTAACAATGAAAATAATTGTATGGTTGGGGATCACCACAACATGAGGAGCTGCATTAAAGGGGCAGGCATTAGGAAGGTTGAGAACCACCTCCGGCCTATAGGAAGGAGAGTCAGTTTGAGCAGATTGCCATCCCAAAGCAATGGCAGGATCAAAGTTGATGGGCTCATTGGGAAGGGATCTGTTTCTAAAGGAAAACGCTGGGTCTGTTTTCTAAACTGTCATGCCGAGACCGGTTTAGCTCAATGGATAGAGCGTCGGCTTGGGGACTGATGGGACCTGGGTTCGATTCCGGTATAGGGCATGTACCTTGGTTGCGGGCATATTCCCAGTAGGGGGTGTGCAAGAGGCAACTGATCGATGATTCTAACTCTCTCTCTCCCTTCCTCTCTGTACAAAATCAATAAAATATATTTTAAAAAATTTAAAAAATTTAAAAATTTAAACTGTCGTGAGAACCATGGGCATAAGCCCTGCGTGCACAGGTGCATGATTTGAAAGAACTGAAAACGTTTCGTTCGGACCGGCCCAGCCTCTGCGGTTTAGTGTGTGGTGCCCATTGGGGTGGCCGTGCCCTTTGCCCTGATGCAGCCTCAGAGGTCCAGGGAGTTCCTCAGCCTGTGATGGCTGAAAAGGATCACAGGGCGGCCCCTCTAGATGCCACACACTCTGAACACAGTATCTGTAATCACAGCAACAGCTCTGTCGGGGTGGTGGTGGTGGTGGTGGTGGTGGTGTGATATACCCATTTTATTGATGAAAAGCTGAGGCCCCCGAGTAAAGTATCTTTCAAGGCCACATGATGTTCCAAAGCTGGGGTTTGAGTCTGGCTTCTTGGATTTCTGCCCAGTTCTTTCCTGTAGGCCACCCCGCCTCTTTTTAAAAAAAACATATTTTTTTATTCATTTCAGGGAGGAAGGAAGAGGGAGAGGGTGATAGAAACATCAGTGATGAAAGCGAATCATTGATCAGCTGCCTCCTGCATGCCCCCCGTTGGGGTTTGAGTCCGCAACCTGGGCTTATGCCCTTGCCCTGAATCGAATCTGGGACTCTTCAGTCCGCAGGCTGACGCTCTAGCCACTGAGCAAAACCAGCTTGGTCTACACTGCCTACATCGTGTGACTGCTCTAGAATTTTTTCCTAGTAGAGAATTAGTAGTAAGATTATAGCACAAGTACTTTGAGAATGGAATCTTTGCAATGTGTAAAACCCTCATTGGGTTGTGTTTAATTTGTGGCTTTGTTATGAATGTTCTTTAAAGCCTTTCTCTGGTTCCCTATGACATGACCTGCAGGACAAGTCCAAGTGTACCTGACACATAGTAGTTGCTCAATAAATATTGACTGAAGGAGTTCGTTAAATGGCTATTTATTGTGTGTGCCTGTGCAGGCCATGGTCACGTCTTTGTCTGCCGTACTCTACTCCTTCAATAGTACTTCCAGACGATTCTTATTCTGTCATTTGTTCTCATGCCTGTCATCAACTACGTCATCATCTCCTTGAGAACCTAACCCATGTCTTACTCATATTAGCATCCCCAGATTCAGCCAAGGGTCTGGCAGGAATTCATCTTTGATTAAAGAGGCCTGCTAAAAAGACATGGAGTTAGAAAAATCAAAGTTTAAATACCGTTTTGCCATGACTTATTCTCAGTTCCTTGTATGTAAAATGAATAAGATATTTCCCACCCTCCAGCGTTACTGGGAGTATAAAATGAGATCAGTGCATGAGGGGGCTTGTGGGTGGGCTGCTGTTTAACCCAGCCTCCTGAGTGATGAGTGAGAGTTGTCCAGCAAACTGCTGTCACCGATGGGTATTTTCGAGTGAAATGTGGGCAGTGGGATCCGGACCCCGTGGTCATTTGTCTTCCTTAGGTTTCTTCCTTCCTTGTGTTAGTATTTGTGACGTCCTGATAATGGCACCGAATGCCGTTATCTGAGGAGCATGTCATCGTCCCAGCCCACACTTGGGTTCCTCTCTACCCCTGGGCTCGCTCTGTGCTTAGACAGGGCCCCTTCTTGGCTGCAGAACTTCCCATGAGGCCTGCACGGGAGGCACCGTCTTCGGAAGGTAACTTCTCCGGGGCCTGAATGTATTTCAGGGCGCTGGGCTTGGAGAGTTCAGAGTGGCTTTGATCAGTCCCTGCCCCTGAGTAAGACAGAATGAATGTGGCTGGTGCCTTCTTCACCTGGGACATCATGGGAGAAGTACCGTATCTGCCAAGAGTGTATGATGTGTGTGTATTGAGGGCTGGGTGGAAGCATGGAGGGCCAGGTCCCTAACCAGTGTGTTCTTGTGGCTTCTGATCTGCAGGCTGCTTGTGTGTGTCTCCTAACATGGTTTACCTGCGGCCTCAGACTTACCCTCGGGCTCTAAGACCACCGTTGCCAGACGCCCCATCTGAGACGAGGGTGTGTAGGGGCTGCCTGTCCTCGCCTGCCTGCACTGCACACCGCAGCCCCTGTCCCTGGTCCTTTATGGCCCCCCCCTGCTGCTCAGCCAGCCCGAACACCTATGTGATATGTGCTGCACAACATAAAGCACGCAGCAGCCCTAGCCAGTTGCTCAATGGTTAGAGCATTGGCCTGAGGATGGACGGGTCATGGGTTTGATTCCTGATCATGGGTACCTGGTGGTTGCAGGTTCTCGCCCTCCCCCAGTCTCACATTTCTCTCCTCCTCTCTCCTCCTTCTCCTTCCCTTCCACTTTCTCTAAAGATGAATGGGAAAATAACCTCTAGGATTAAAATAAGTAAATAAGTAAATAAATAAGTAAATAATAAACACAGCAAACTGAGCTGTATACTGTCTATTTTGTCCTTTAAAAAAAAATCCTCACCCAAGGATTTTTTAAAATTGAATTTTAGAGAGACTGGAAGAGAGAGTCAAAGACAGAGAGAGAGAGAGAGAGAGACATCAATTGGTTGCCTCCTGTATGAGCCCCAACCAGGGCCCAGGCCCGGGAGGAGCCTGCAACCGAGGCACGTGCCCTTGACCGGAATCTAATCAGCCCCCTTTGGTCCGCAGGCTGATGCTCCATCCACTGAGCCAAACCAGCCAGGGCCATCCTTCATTGTTCCAAAGTGGAAATCCGCCTCTCCTCCAAAGCTGTGTCACAGCCCAGCCAGCCCCCAGGGGAACGTGCTGGGAAGAACGTGTGCTGGTGCTTTAGGGCAGCCCACCACATTTCCGGTCTAAAACCCCATCGCATCACTACGTCCCAGAGCAACGAGAACTGGAGACATAATGTAGCTGTGTGCTCCGGACAAGAGGAGGGCTTTTGTGGACCAGCCCTGCAAGAGAGCAGCGGGTGAGGAGAAGTGGCAGGACCGAGGGACCCATGGTCCCTGTGGGACAGAAAGCACAGCTGGTGGGAGCAGCAGAGGAGGCAAAGGCAGGCAAGGAGAGGAGCTCAGGGCTGGGCTGGGGGAAGAAGAGAGACCGCGTTGAGGTGGCGTGGCCGTGGGCAGTGCAGGCTATTGAGCAACTGGGAAACGGAGGAACCGGGAGGCCTGTGATTGGGGCTGGGTGGAAATAGACGTGGGAAGAGTCTGCCTTGGAGGTGGATGTGGAGACGAAGGAATGAAGGAGTGGGTAGGACTGGAGGCAGGCGTGTGAGGGAGGAGATGGATTAGAGCTGGAAGGCAAGGCGGGCTGACTGGACCTTCTGGGAAATGACGGTGGCGGGGAATGTAGAGGAGACATGACCAATGTTTCCTCTGAGCTAGAAAAACATGAAAAAAAAGAAAAAGAGCATTTGCTCCAGCTCACCACTAAAATATAGATTCTTTGAGAGAACATCTCTTTGTGGTCATGAAAGGGATGATCTTGGCCTGTTGCAGATGCTTTGTAAATATTTGTTCAGTGCGTTTAGTCAGCCGACTGGAAGCTGACAGAGGGATTTCTCTACCCCCAGACAGGAAGCTCACGTGGTCGTGTGTGGCTGGTGCACAGATTTGGGGTTGCATCACTTACCTTCTCTCCTCCCTCACCCTAAACCCATGAGCCTCTGCCAAGCCAGGGCTGCCGCCTTGGCGGGCCAGAGAGCCTGGCCCAGTCATACTGCAGGAGAAGGCCCGCCTTCAGGGGACAGCCAGCTCCCCGCCTTCCCCGCCTGTGCCCACTTCTCTGCCCGGCTCTCTGCCTCCTCACCAGTTTGCTTCTTCCCTCTTCGTCCCAGGGATTGGCCTGGATGCCTACTTCCGGCGTGGATGCCTCTTCTTCCAGGGTCTGCCGTTTCAAACAAAAATCTGTCCTCCCCTGGAACAACCATCCACCTCTCTCTCTCTCTCTCTCTCTCTTTTTAATTAAAAAATATATATTTTATTGATTTTTTACAGAGAGGAA